ATATATATATATATATATATATATATATACATGGACTAATGGATGAGCAGCTAACATGTCCCTCTTTGTTATTGTCCTATAAGAGAAGGGAGTGAATTCGGATTTGGTCTTTTTGGTCACCAATCCTCAGGCTCTGAGACGATTCTTCAAAGTCCCCCTCATCCCATTCGTCTTCCAAATTCAAGAGACTTTTCTGAGGGATAAGGAGGGTGCTGGCCAGGAACAGCTACACCCAATGCATGGCTCAGCACCCAGGGGCCTCAGTGCTGGCTCAAGGGACAAGTGACCAGATGAATACAGCTCAGCATGACCACACATGTCCCAGCCCTTGATCCTGGGAACAGTTCCTCCCTGCCCTAGGCAGGTCTAGCAGCCTGGAAGCCTTATGGAGGCCCACTAACATCCAATCTCATAATCCTCGCACAAACTGTCTTGGAGTAAGGGCTCAGGCCTCTGTGGGGAACCCCGAAATCTGCCTTCCACCTCATACAATTGGACAGCACATCCCCTTTCCTCCCTCTCTCCCTCCCTCTTTGCCTTGTCAGCACCCTAGAGACCTCTGCCCCTGCCCTGTGGCAGGCACCAACATGCCAATCCCCATCCATGGACATACCACTGAGGCCTCTCAGCTCTCCTTCCCCAAACACTGCAAACCAGCATTACCATGCATACCTGGCTGCCAGGCAAACTTCCCAGTCTCCACGGGAACAGGACCAAATCTTCCTCACCTTCATCAAGTCCCCACCCGACTCCTGTCAGCCTCATTTCCAGCAGAAGACTGGACACCTCATGAAACAAGTCTCTCAGGCATGAAACCTCTTGGCTTCCCTCCTTCCAGCACTTGCTCCCTGTTCTCTTAATAGTGAAAAAGTCTCACAAGATCTGATGGTTATAAAAACGGGAGTTTCCCTGTACAAGCACTCCTCTCTTTGCCTGCCACCCTCCACATAAAATGTGACTTGCCTGTTTTTCTCACTCTTTTACCTCTTCTGTCATTGATATCTATGCCCCAACACATATACCCAGTTCATAAAAGTATCTTTTCTCCCAATCTCCTCTTAAGTCCTCCATTTCCTCTACATAGTGGCTTTTTCTTTTTTTCTTTTGTACATTTTTTATATTTGGTAGAGACAGGGTCTCACTATGTTACCCAGGCTGGTCTTGAACTCCTTGGTTCAAGTAATCCTCCTGCCTCAGCCTCCCAAAGTGCTTGGATTACAGGTGTGAGCCACTATACCAGGCTTTTTTTTTTTTTTTAACATACAAATTTTTTTTTTTAA